GTTTCCAATTTCTCTCCATCCTTTCTAATATTTGTTATTTTCTGAGGTTGTTTTTTGTTTGTTTGTTTATTGTGTGTGTGTGTGTTTATAGTAGCCATCTTACTTTGTGTGAGAGCAGTATCTCTTTGAGGTTTTGATTTTCATTTCCATAATGATTAGTGATATTGAGCGTATTTTCATACGCTTAGTGGCCATTTGTATATCTTCTTTGGAGAAATGTCTATTCAATTTTGAATAGGTTTTTTGTTTTTCTTGAGTTTTAGGACTTCTTCATATATTCTGAATATTAGCCACTTATTAGGTAAATGATTTTGCAAATATTTCCTCCCATTCTTTGGGTTGCCTTTCCATTCTGTTGTGTCCTTTGGTGAACATAAATTTTTAATTTTGGGGAAGTCTGATTTACATATTTTTCTTTTGTTGTCTGTGCTTTCAGTGACATAGCCAGAAATCATTGCCAAATCCAATGTCATGAAGCTTTTCATATGTTTTTTCATATGTTTTCTTATAAAAGTTTTATGGTTTTAGGTTTACATTTAGGTCTTTACTCTTTTTAAAAATATTTTTTATTGATCTTAGAGAGATGGGAAGAGAGAGGGAGAGAGAAACAGAGAGAGAGAGAGAAAAAAAAAACAATGTGAGAGAGAAACATCCATCAGCTGCCTACTGCACATCCCTACTGGGTATCGAGCCCGCAACCCAGGTGTGTACCCTGATCCTGAACCAGTAACCTTTTGCTCTGACACCATTTATTTGAATAGGTCAATGTTCATTCAACTGGCTAGGACTCTATTCTATTTTAAATTAAATTTGTATATATGGTGTAAGGTAAGGCTTCAAATTCATTCTTTTGCATGTAGATATACAGTTTTCTCAAAACCATTTTTTGAAAAAACTGTACTTTTTCAATGAATGATCTTGGTACCCTTGTCAAAAATTGCCAGTACCACACTGCCTTTTTTAAAAAAAATCTTACCTGAGGACATGTTTACTGATTTTAGAGAGAGGGGTGATGCTCCAACCCACTAAGCCACACCAGCCAGTGCTGCTTTGCTTACTGTAGCTTTCTAGTAACTTTTGAAATCAGGAAGTGTGTCCTCCATCTTTGTCCTTTTTCAATATTGTTTTTGGCTATTCTGGGTTCCTTGAGAGTTCATATGAATTTTAGGATGGATTGTTTTATTTCTGCAAAAACATCCTTGGTATTTTGATAGATATTGCTATAGATTTCTTTGTATAATATTGGCAGTTTAACGACATTAAGTCTTCCTATTTATGAACACATATGTATTTCCATTATTGCTATCTTCCTTAATTTCTTTCAGAAATATATTAATGATCCAATTTCTCTGAATTGTCACCAGAATTTTGGTATGTCATGTTTATTTTAGCTTTTCTAATAGGTGTGTAGTAATATCTCATTCTGATTTTAATTTGCATTTCCCTAGTGGATAATGGTGGTGAACATGTTTTCATGTGCTATCTCTGTGTCCTCTTTGAAGAAATGTTCCTTCATGCTTGTTACCCATTTTCTAATTGTATTGCATATGTTTTACTGTTGAATTTTGCGAGTTATTAATTTATGTATTCTACTGTCAGATATGTGATTTGAAAATATGTTCTCCCAATCTTAGCTTTTCTTTTATATATAAATATTTGATTTCAGAGAGGAAGGGAGAGGGAGAGAGAGATAGAAACATCAATGATGAGAGAGAATCACCGATCGGCTGCCTCCTGCATGCCCCCAACTGGGGACCGAGCCCGCAACCTGGGCATATGCCCTTGACCGGAGTTGAACCTGGGACCCTTCAGTCTGCAGGCCGACACTCTATCCACTGAGCCAAACCAGCTAGGGCTTAGCTTGTCTTTTCATTCTCTCAACAGGGTCTTTCACAAAGCAACATTTAAAATTTTGATGAAGTCTAATATATCATATTTTTCTTTTATGGTTCATATTTTTGGTATTAAGTCTAAGAAAGAACTTCATAAACCCTGAGTCCTAAATTTTTTTCTAAAGATTTTATACTTTTATATTTAAAAATTTTAAATGTATAATCTATTTTGAGTTAATTTTTGTGTAAGGTGTAAGGTTTAGGTTCATGTTTTTGTCTATGGATATCCATTTGCTCCAACACCATTTATTGAGAAGACTGTCCTTCTTTCATTGAATTGCTTTTGAAGTTTTGCCCTAAATTAGTTGGCTATATTTGTCTGGGTCTATTTATGGCTACTCTGTACTGTTCCATTGAGCTATGTGTCTGTCTCTCAACCAATACCACTCAGTCTTGATTACTTTAGCTGTCTAAGTCTTGGCATTATATATAGTGATTCCCCCCCTTTGTTCTTCCCCCTCTCCCCCACCAAAAAAAAAAAATTGTTTTAGCTATTCTAGTTCCTTTGCCTTTTCATGTAAGTTTTAGAGTTATTTTGTCTATGTCTACAAAACTCTGTTGGGATTTTGATATGAGTTGTGTTAATCCTGTATATCAATTTGGAGAGAATGGACATCTACATTATGTTGAATTTTCCAATCCATGGACACATTATGTCTCTCCATTTACTTAAATATTCTTTGATTTCCTTTATCAGTGTTTTGTAGTAAGTAGTTTATAAGTCTTATGCATGTTTTGTTAGATTTATATTTAAATAATAATGACTTTTAATTTTGGTTTCCATGTGTTTGTTGTTTTTATGTAGAAATACAATTGATTTTTACATAGTGATCTTGCAAACTTGTTGAACTCACTTATGAGTTCCAGAAGTTTTTTTGGTAAATTCTGTGATATTCCCTACTTCATTTTCAATCTGTATGCCTTTTATTTTCTTGCCTTATTACATTGGCTAGAACTTCCAGTATTCTGTTGAATAGGAGTGGTGAGAGTAGACATCCTTTTCTTGTTTCTCATTTTAGAGGAAAACTCACCATTAAGTGTAATCCAAAACTTTGCTTTGAAGGTTTTTGTAGACATACATTATCAACTTGAGGAAACTTGTCTATTCCTAGTTTTCTGAGTGTTTTTATTATAAATGGGTATTAAATTTTGTCAAATGATTTTTCTATATCAGTAATGTGGTTGTGTGAATTTTTTTTTCTTCTCTAGCTTTTCATAATAGTGGATTATATTGTTCGATCTACCCATATGAACCAACCCTGCATCCCTGGGATAACCCCCCTCTTGGTCATGGTGTATAAAGGAAGTCCTCACTTAGCATCAATGATAGGGTCTTGGAAACTGCAACTTACAGACTAATTTTACCACAGGCTAATTTATAAAACAGAGTTAAATTCCTTTGGTATATTTCTGGTCACAAAAACTACCAAACTTGCAAATAAAGACTCAAAACACTTGTAATATTAAACATTGAAGTAAATGTGAGCTATACATACATTTAAGAAAGATTAATAAAAACAAGTAAAGTAATTAATTTCTAATCCACTTATTTCAGTCCAGGGTTGCAGGTGGCTAGAACCTCTCCTGGCAGCTCAGGGCACAAGGCAGGGACCAATCCTGGACAAGACACCCTTGCATAGCAGGCTACAGTCATGCACACACCTACACCCACACTCACTCAGACTGGGACAAATTAGACACACCAGTTCACCTAATGTGCACATCTTTGGGTGTGGGAGGAAACTGGAGTACCTGGAGAAAACCCACTCAGACTTGGAGAGAACATGCAAACTCCACACATATAGTGGCCCTGGCTGGGAATTGATTTTTTTTTTCTCATCAATTTTATAGCTCTTATTTGAGGACCTGCTGTAATTCTTTTTGTATGTTTTGAGTTCTACTTGCTGGTAGTTTATTAAGGTTTTTATATCTATATTCATGTAGATATTGGTCTGTTGGTTTTTTTGTTTGTTTATTTTTCTTGGTAATGTCTTTACATGGTTTTTGGTATTACATGGAAGATTGTGAAGATCTTGAGGGAAGACAGTGCTAATGATCGCTAAGTCATGGAGTGGATGATTTGGGCCATGGGAATATCAGAAAGAATCCAGAGGAGAAAAGGAATCCAGAAGGGAATTAGTATTGTTGGCTGGAAATATTGTTGCTTGGGTGAGTGTAGGGCAGTGTACCAGAGCAAACTTAGTGAGGGTTGGGGATGCAATCTGGTTGTCATGGACGGAACAGTTAGTGTAGTTGGCTTGTGGAGAACCTTAGTTAATAATGATGTGATAGGGCTGGAAATATATTGACTGTAGGGAAAAATTAATTATATTAGTGTTAGGGAATTAATAATGGAGGTAGATCCTGAACCTGGAGGTGATGGGGCGGGGGGGAGCGGAGAGACCCAGTAGAAGGATCATTCTTGAGCAGGAAATTGAGCACCTCTCTCTAGCACTGCTGGTAAAGAGGAGGGGTTGGTATGGGAGCATGGGTCCTTAGAAGTGATATTAATGTCTGGGAGTGCCTCTCCTTGTGCTTTGTTTAGGAGGAAAGGGATATTCCTAAGGCCAAAGGAATAATAGATCTGCACCAAAATGGGAGCAAGTACCCAGGCGTGACACTCTACGGGTAGAGTTGTGATGGTGAATCAGAGATGGGTTTAGGTCTTTACACCATTTTTTTATTTGTTTGTTTTTATCTGTTTGATATTTTGTGTTTGGTTTTGACAGATTGGTGAGGTCCACAGTTAGGACAAATCAGTGTGGAAATTCTTCAATCATCCTCAGAAATAAGTCATTGGAGGTCTTTCTGCTAAGCTGCTGAGTCCCAGTATTGTTCAACATTGACCATGAGAAGGCCATTGGCTCCATCCTCCGTTGAGCCAGAGAGCCACTGACCATCCAGTTTGTAATCAGCAGTTCAGACTTAGTCCTCTGACCAATTCTGCATAATTACGTCTGGAAAATAGAAGAGAAGGGAATATTTCCCTATTCGTTTTGTGGTTTTGATACCAAAACCGGACAAGGACCAGTTTCCATCCCTAGCAGTCATTCCTCCTCATGCCTTCATTTGCTGGTACTGAGGAAGTTGATTTCTGTTCTGTTGCAGCTGCAGCCGACTCCGCCAGGTTCAGAGCATCCTGACCCAGAGCAGCAAGTCTCGACCCGATGGGATCCTCTGCATTCTAGGTCAGTGCTTTTAACAAGGTGGGACTCAGGGCTGGGGCAAATTGGCTTCTGTTCACAGGAAGATACTGATAATGGTATCATTGTGAGATCAGCCATGGGTTAGTGTCCCCTGCTCTTGTTCCCCTGAAATCCATTGCTGTTTAAATGAGATTGGGTGAGATATCGGTAAGATAGAGAGTACCTACCACAGAGCAGGCACTTTGTACATATTACCTCATTTCTCCTTACAGCAAACTTACAAGGGAGCAGTGTTGTCCCTTTTTTTTACAGAAGAGGAAACTGAGATTCTCGGAGATTAAACAGACTTGCTCAGGGCCACAGAGTGGCAAAATTAGGCATTTATTTGTTCTTTAAAAATTTTTATTATGAAAATATATCATATAATTTAAAAATTAAGACAATACATGAGTTGAGTAACAATGAACAGAACTTCCTAACCATCCCAGATACCCACTCCCACTCCCCAGAGATAACATTGTCAACAGTATCTTTTTTTTTTAACACAAATGGGAACATTTTATGCATATTGTTGTTAACCTAATTTTTAAAATTTTCACTTGACCATATATCTTAGAGTTTTTTAAATATGAGATGACTACTTGAATATGGAATACTACAATGTTGCAGAAATTGATGTGCTTGAAGTTGGGTGTGAAATGAAGGTAAAAAGTAAACCTTCAGGACA